CTAGTGGGGGCTTCCTTTTCTCTTTTCTACTACTTCTGTCTACTACTACTGGTGCCTGAGGTATCACCCCTGCAATCTATCTAATGCAAGTTGCTTCAACAACACCTCTTGACCTGGTGCTACTGGAGCCTCACCCTCCACTGCTCTGGAGGCGTGTGACTCGCTCTCACCTTCTTCTGACATCCTCCTAAAAGAATAACAACTGCTTAGTTCATCAGGGTAGACATGGCATGTACACTATACTGACTTATGCATGCAAGCACGGGGAATCTAAACCTAGGGCTCTGATACCAAAATTTGTAACACCCCTTCCCTGTCCACCCGTTAACCCGAATAAACCGAGTCGGGATGCTACAAACTGGTTGACTGTATGGTCTGACATGCTGAAAACATACTGTATATTGAATAATAATATCATGTGAATGGAACTGACATTGCTGAATCATTAATGTATAATGAATCTAATATCATTGCTGAGATTGCTTATAGTAATAATGTACTGAATATTTACAAGACATGGATACTAGTGTACACAATGAATGGGCCCACTATGTGCCCTGTACATGCATTTTTGAAAAAGGGAAAAAAGGAACAAAAGATCACATCCAAAGGAATAGTACCCTGAAAAAGACGATCTTTCTACAGAATGAACTGGCGAGCATGTTGTAAACCGACTCTCTATGGTAATCAGTCTTCAAAACCTGCGAGTTAAACAGGTAACTCACCTGAGCAAATAAAAGGTCAGTGGATATCTCAACATAAACAGAAACAAATAAGCACATACATGTGGTAAAAGGAACCATGGTAACACATATAGCCACAGATCAAGAACACATCTTCATGATATGTTCGTTTACCTGATTGGTCTTTCTTCTGTTTATTAGTACTGTATTGAAGTTTCATGCAGCATTAAGTTCAAGGATATCTTTGTATAGCTCCATAAGGTGTATAGGCGAAACCGAATTGGATAAGAAAAACTGTATAAACTGGATGAATACTGATTATACTTGATGCTATGGCCATATAATTCATATCCCACTCAACGGGCCTGTAGCCGGAGAGTAAACACTGTATGAGGCGGCAGATCGGCTATCCTATGTCGCGACATGGTCTTATCTACCATGGTTTTCTACCGAACCTCAATGGAGCATAATGTTGGTATGTCAAATTATAACACAACCATCACAACATCATAGTAATAGTTCATCGCTTTATAAATCATAATGTTCATATGATTTCACATCATTTGCATGCTTGGATGTTGTTTTGATACATGTTCTAATGTTGTCTTTTTATTTTAGAATGATTGGATGCATACAAGTTGAGCAAAGTAATCCAATTGCATAGAAAAGAAAGCCAAAAGTGCAGGAAAAGACAGGTCGCGGGCGCGCCTGTGGAAGTCGCGAGCGCGAGATGCAGAAAATAAGAGACAGTGTGTTATCGGGCACAAGTCACGATCGCGTACTTGAATGTCGCGAGCACGTAGTGTGCCAAATGAGAGACAGTAAGTTTCAGGTGAAAGTCGCGAGCGCGCACATTGAGGTCGCGATCGCGTAATGTGCAGGTTGAGAGTCAGTGAGTTTTCATGCCAACTACGCGAGCGCGCAGTGCAAGTCGCGAGCGCTTCCAGGCCAAGCGCTTACAGGACAAAGGAACAAGTCGCGAGCGCGTAGATGAAAGTCGTGATCGCGTAATATGCAAAATGCAAGTCAGTGAGTTTGAAGTGAAAGTCGCGCGCGCGCAGTGCAAAGTCGCGAGCGCGCGACGTGCTTCCAGCCTGCGCAGTGCAAGGTCGCGACGCGTTTTTCCAGCCTGCGCAGTCTGTACTCTTTTGGTCATATCTCTCAATATACAACTCTGATTTGGGTGATTCAAAAACCCATGTAAAGATAATACATAGAGGAACAAATAACTCTTCTATGACACTTCCTAATTCCATCATTAAATAGGGAAAAAATCAAGGTGAAGTTACTAGTTACTTTTCCAGCAAAACCCGTTTCAGCATGAACTCCATCTCTACTTCATTTATTCATTTCATCTCATGCTTTTCCACCATTTTCAGTCATCTTTCTCAACATTAAACCACATATCTCCTCATTTCAACACATCAAGAGATATCAGACCTTTACTCCAAAAACGCGTGAGCTCTGTTCTAACTTCTCTTCTCTACACTCTTTGAACTTCCTTCACCTAGAATAAAAATTCTTATCACTTATCTACGATATAACTCAATTAGAGGTTGAATAGCATAAAGCTTCAAGAAATTCTACTTACTTGGAGAACTAGAGGTTGCCTTAATGCTTGAATGGAAAAATAAAGGAAATGAAGGAGATGAAGTAGATGAAGATAAAGATGAACGATGGGAAAGTGACTGGAATGATTACGGGTAAGTCATCACAAAATCAAGATAAATGATGGAAACTTATTAAATGAGACCTCAATTGTGAAAAGGCTACAACTTAATACCCAAGCTTAATCTTTGAATGCAAAACCATCCTCTCCCTTATACTTTAATCTTTTTCTCTCAATCAAATAAGTCCACTTCTAACCCCTTTCTACCCCAACCGGGTTTGGTTCAACTCAACTCAACTCGACTCGACTCGACTCTATGCAAAGACTCGACTCAGTAGGATGTCACATCGACTCGGTATAGGATGTCACAGAATAGACTGAAAAATCACTAAAAATATTAAAATAACCCATAATTTTTATATTGTTAATTAATTTACTAGATGAATAATATATGAAAAAAAAAGTTAATTTCTAATGACTTAAAGTAACTTTTATTTTCGTTACATTACCATTAGGGGTGAGCATTCGGTTCGATCCAATTTGGTTTATTCGAACCAATTTGGTTCATTGAATAAATGTTCGGTTAAAAAGTTCGAATTAAAAAAAATTAACAATTTCCGTTGGATCGGTTAAAAAATTAATTTAACCAAAATTAATCAACTCTCAAAACTACATCGGTTTGATTAAGCAGATAAATAAAATTAAAAATTTAAAAAATATTTCAGCTTTTATTTTGATTTATAATTTAATAACTTGGTTAATTTTATTCGGTTAGAATCGAATCGCTATATTTTCAATTAAATTCGGTCGGTTTAAGTTAAGGTTTTTTATTTCTTTTACTTTGGTCAGTAAGAATCAAAAATTAATTCAAGTCAAAATAATTCGGTTAAAGATTAATTCACTTAAATTTATGGTTAGGTAAAAAAAAATTTGATTAATTTATTTCGTTTGCAAAATTTTACTCAAATGACCGAATCTAGGAATTGATCATCCCTAAATTACCATTTTTTTCGGCCTTACCCTTCTTTTAACTTTTTAGTTCAAATAAATTTATAAATCTAAATCATCTTTAATATCTTAATATAATGAACAGTTTTTAGTTCAGATATTTCTTTTGTATTAATAATGACGTGGTGGAGTGGTGGTAGTGGTGGTGGTGGTATAGTGGTGTTTGAGGTGGTGGTATGGTGGTTATGGTGGTGGTGACGGTGGTGGTAGTGCTGGAGTGGTGGGAGTGCTAATTGGTGGTTATAATGGTGGTGGTGGTGGTGGTGAAGGAGGAGTGGTGGTGGTGGTGGTGTGATTTGTAGTGGTAGTATTTTAATTACATTACATTATATATTTAAAATTTAAAAACAACATAAAAATAGAATGAGAATTACATTCCATAAATTTTATCAATTATATTTCCTAACATAGTAATGAAAATTTTAATTACATTACATTCCATTCCATTATATTTTTCATTACGTTACATTTTTTATTACATTGCATTGCATTACATCCAATCAAACATAGCCTAAGTAAAACCTTTGAATAGATTAAAATATGTATTATGTTTTACCTAATTGACAAAACAAGTTCCTTTAATATATCATCATATTTTTGAATTCAGCCTATTTTGGTTTTTTATTTTTTTTTATTTTTCATAGGACAATACTCTTTGTTCTCTCAAAAATTTTAATCTAGATGTAATCCTCATTTACATCTTTTGACTAATAATTTCAATTTATGGAAATTTCTTTTTTTATTAGGTATTGGAATTCTTTTTACAAATCTCATGTTTCCTGCAATTTTTTTAGCTAAATTCATGGTTTATGCTATCTATATAAATTTATAATTTTAAAATATGGATGTGATGTGACAAATGTAACATTTTATCTTTTCTTATTATAATTAATCTTTTTTTAAAATTTTAATAAGCATTAAGTTTTTTTTTAATTAAATAATGAGTTACAAATTAATGAAATCTAACGGAGTTATAATGGACTCCATTATAATTGATCTTTTGTTTTGCATTTTTGTTTTGCATTTAATAAACATTACGTTTTTTTTAATAAATAATAGAATCATAAAACTAATGGATCAATATTAAGGAGTTATAATTAATAAATATTAATTAAATAATTAAGTTACAGTAATATTATGGTATGTATGGTGAACTAATATAATTAAAATCTTAATTCAATTCACAATTCACTAAAATTTATTACATTGTAATTAAATCTTCTTATACCTAATTTATTATAGAAAATTAATAAGTATTTCAGTTAAATATATGAAATTCTGAAGGGAAAAATAAATAATTATATCGGTTAAATTACATAAGAACCATGTAAAATTCACCTTTCATCATTTAATCAAATACATTAGCAAATCATTTAAATTAAAGCAACATAAATATAAATTGTAATAATTTTCTTAATAATTATCTATTCAAATCAATTAAAAAAAATATAAAATTACACAATCCGTCCAAGCTGAGTACATAACTAGTTGGGATTATATATATCTGTTGCACATAAAAGCTATATTTTGGTTGCATAGAGAACTATCCATAAGTGGGAGTTCAGTGCGTAGTTGAGAAAACCATTAATTGATGTCATGAATCTCCTAAAAATTGACTTAATTATCACACATGAATCTCCTAAAAATTGACTTAATTATCACATATAAATTAAAAATGAAGTACCCGTAAAGATCTTTCCAAACATTATTTACATGTAAAATATATGCAATTCATATTTAATTAAGGAGATGGCATTATTACAATATAAATAATGTAGAAAATGCAAATTATATAATAATGTATGTAAAAAGAGAGAAGACTATAATTAAATAACATTGAAACTTTCTGCATTTCAGTCTAGTCCCGATGAATATGGTAGCTGGAAATAAGCAAATGAGAACAAGAAAGTTTCAAAAATTTAAATCTCATTGTGATGATTGTATTGGGAAATTAATTGCATACCAACATGCATAAATGATAGGACAAATGCATAAATTTGATCTTGTATTTTCGACGATTATTCTTGTGGCCCCTGAACTTTGTGAGAATCCATCATAACTCTAAACGTTTATATCAAAATGCCATAAGAATAATTGACCAAAGTTTAGGATCAAATTTATGCATAGGTATTTCATTTAATTAGTGGGTGGGGTCCAAAAAGGCAGCAATAAGAAGAGCATGTGTAACCTTAATAACCTAAAAGGAATTAAAACCTAAAAGAATTCTTGCTTAAATATTGGAATATATGTACAGTCTGTTGGACAAAATTATCTGTTTTAATAGTAGTTAGCTGTTTTAGTAGTATTTAACTATTAGCCGTTTGAGTAGCTTTTCATGAAACTCTAAAAGCTAAACGTTAAATGAATTAACTTTTTATAAAATGCTACATTAACCTTTAAAAACTAGTTCAAACATTATATTAGTGAACACTATAAATTTAAATTGGATATTAACTAACAAGTAGTTTATTTACCTTAGTTTGTAAAAAACTCATAAGCATGTAGAGGCAGCATAACTTCCCATATATGGACACTCTAGTTTTCTGCTGGATAGGAAGAAAAAGATTTCCTTAATTTCAATGTAAGAGCTAAACTTTTGACACAGCAAATGACAAAAAGTAAAAAGCAAGATGAAAGCAAGATGATTTTATAGTTAAAAATATGAGAGTATATCATAATTGAAATTAGACTTATGCTGAAAATTTACTTGAGTTCTAAAGTGACCCTTAATTACTTTAAATACATCTAAACAAATCCAAAATTAATTTTTTCATCAGTTTAGTCCTTAAATTTTTATTTTTAGACCAATTAATTTCAATTTTTATTAAAAGGAAAATTATATTAATTAAAGAATCATAAATACACTCTTTTATTTAAATTTTTTTTTCAAATTTCCCAAATTATAAAGCCTGATATTAAATGTCATATAGTTAATTTGAACTTTAAATAATCTAAATAATAATTAAATGAAGGGAGAAATAAGATTACTTGCACCTAATCATCATTTTCAAGCGAGGATTGAATGTTGTAGCCATCAACAATAACTTGAGGAATATGAGCAATTTTGGACCAATCTTCACCCTTTTCCAATCTTCACCCTTTTCATGTTCACATCTTTTTCCCAATGCAAAACAATTTTCAATCTTCAGTTGTTGAAGAGAAACTATATTTTTCAGGCATGCAGGTAATTCTTCAATATTAGACCAATCTTCAAGATGTAAGTTTTGTAGAGTGTACTTGGATCCTTGGAGAAGCCAATATGGAAAATTCACTAATTTTGACAACCCTACAAGTGCCAAATTTTGAAGGCTGAGTTGATTGAAATCTTCCTCATCCACCATAACCAAATCAATATTTTCACAATCACTAATCGTAAGTGTTTTTAGTGAACTCAGATATTTTATGCTTGGTGGCAAACAAATTAAACTTTTACACTCTACAATAATTAGTCTTTTAAGTTTGCTAAGACCTTGCATATCTTCACATAAGTATTTTAGATTTTCACATTGAATAATGAACAAAAATCGAAGAGATTTCAAGCATCCAATTCCATTATTTAACAACCTCTCCTCTTTTGTTGTCATTTGTAAAAATCTAATGCTGATCAGGTACTTTATATTAGTGGGCAACTCTTCAAATCCCTGACAAAGTAACAAAGCTTGTAAATTTTGCAACTTGCAAATAGAATCAAGGGCTTTGATAATCTTACTTTGCAAATAGAATCAAGGGCTTTGATAATCTTAGAATTTCCATGTAAATGGAAAAATCTCAAATGCTTTAAAGTGCCTATTCTCTCTAATGGAACGTCTAATTTCAAATGACTTAAATCCAACATCCGCAAATATTGAAATCTTGACAAATTTATGTCCAACATTAATTTGTTGTTAAGATCCCTTTCCTCACTCATAAAAACAATTGTTCTTGCATGGTCTAATCCTTGTAAAATCGTGGAGAGATCTTGAGGAAGTGAAGCATTGTCAGGAAATAACAAATGTCGAACATTTTTGGGGATTTGTCTAGTGCTAGAGGTCACTATTGAATATTCATTTTGTGTCACTGATAATGCAAGATCATGCACTAAATCATGCATTTTACACTTAATAAATCCATAATTTTCCTCGAAATCTTGAAAAAAACACTTAGATGCTAACTCCTTCAAATAACGCAAACCCGCATTTTCCGATTCCTCATTTTCATTCATCGATCGAACAAGTCAATGTGCTATCCAAACTTGAACTAATTCAACATTATCATACACACAGTCCTTCGAATAAAGTGAACAATAAGCCAAACATCTTTTCAAGTCAGTTGGCAATTCCTCGTAACTTAATTTTAAAACATGTAAAATGCCATTTTCCCCCTGCTTCAATTTCCATAACTCATTGTCTCTTATAGAATTCCAATAATATTCATCGGTTTTTGAAAGAAGGAGAGAAGCCAGTGTCTTCACAGCTAAGGGAACTCTTTTACATTTTTTCACAATTCCATCCCCAATTTTCAACAAGTTAGGATAGCGTTTCTCTTGGCCTTTTGTAAATGCAAATTTAGTAAACAAGGCCATAGACTCATCATGAGAAAGACCTAACAATTCATAAGCAGGAACAGAACCCACAATAGAGGCATCTTGGTTACTACGAGTTGTTACCAAGATTTTTGTTACCAGATTTTACTTCCATTGGCCACCATATACAACCAATTCCTTCCAATTTGATTCCATTTCATGGGGTCATTGTTCCATTTCATGGGGTCATTGTTCCAAACATCATCTAAAACAAGCAAATATTTCTTCTCACCAATGGTTTTCTGCAGGACTTTCGTTAATTGCTCCATTTCCAAATTGCTCAAGTTTTTTGTCTCAAGTCTCATACCATTGGTTGTCGATTTAATAATTTTCTCTGTTAATATTTTTATATCAAAATCTTTTGATACACAAACCCACATTTTAAGTTCAAATAATCTCTTTACTGGATCATCATTGTAAATCAGTTTAGCAAGTGTAGTTTTGCCCAAACCTCCTATTCCAACAATTGGAATAACAAATATTTTCCCATCCTTCATCAAGAGTTTGATGATGGTTTCTTTATCTGTGTCTCTTCCAATGATATCAGAGGCTTGCATATACGAATAGGTCATCTCCCTTGTCCTATGCATAAAGTATCTATTTTCATGTTGTTCATTGAGATGGAATTTAGCTCTATGACTTGCAATCTCATCTAATCTTTCTCTTATTTGCTTTATTTTCTGACCCATTTTAAAACGAATTTATTTTCTGACCCATTTTAAAACGAATTGCAAGTGGATTAGAGGATGAAAAGAAGCGGCCAACCTGAAATTCAAATAAGTATAATATAAATTTAGAGAAAGAAAGATGGGTCGAGTTTAGTGAGTTTAGATTGCAGATGACTCGGGTTATTCATTTGATTAACTATTGAATTGATTGCCCTGAATTATATTGAACGGAGTATCAACTTCAATTTGTAACTTAAGAATACCCGATCTTTAATTTATGTGACAATAAAATGTCTATGAACATAATTAAGTATTTCCGCTAACTGGAATGTCACATCTTTGACAAGTAGCAATTTTTTAATGGGATAATGTAATTTTTGGTGTCTAACTTGAATTTTTTTTTTCCCAATTTGGTGTCTATTGATGAAGTGGAAAGCCAAATTGTCTAGTGAGACGAATTAAGGGAATTATAATCTACATATATAAAATCTATATCTAGAATATATATAAATGTGGACTGAGAGGGGAACATTGGGAATTATAATTAGTATGTAGGTAGGGAATTATATATTTCCTGACAATAAATAACTTTTATATATCTATATTTATAATATAAATTTATAACTATATATATATAAGTGAAAATGAGTGGGGGAATATTGTCATTGTCAAAAACGCTCATTCTAAGTTTATCGATTGAAAAAAATATTATTAAGGATTTTAGTTTGATTAATTGTTTGAAAAAAATAAAGATACTTTAATTTTGATTGATTATATTAATTTTCTATTTAAATCTAAATTCTATTGAGTAAATAAAATTGTATTATATATTATATAAGGTATATATTAAATGCCGTAAGAAGTTTTAAAGATTTTAATTTTATTGGTTAAAAAAAAGGTAATTTAATTTTGAATGGTTAAATTATACTATATAAGGTACATATTAAATATGTTAAGAATACAATACATTTAGTTATTATTTTTTTTTGATAACATTTTTATTTTAATTAGTTTATAATTATTTCTACAAGTAAACCTGTTACTATAAACCAAATATTATGAGCAATATATTAATTTATTAAGAAATATACATATTATATAGATTTTATTTGATATTAAATAGAAAAAATAAATACTATACTAAATATATATAAATAATAATATATATAATATAAATATAATATAATATAAATAATATTATATTATGATATAATTACGTTATATTAGCAAACCATAGTAATATATTTGACAATAATTTTTTTTTCCTACACTCAAAATACAACAACATAAATTAATTTATTACTTCATAGACTTATAGTAGAAAGTAAAAAATATAAAAATTAATAAATGATAGACTCCTAAAACATACACTCTATTATATTAATTTATTATAATAGACATAATATAATTCTCATATTTTAAAAATTAAAATCCATGAGTTATAATGCAATAAGTAATAACGTGCAATTCCACAAAAACTACTTATCATATAAAACTCACTACCATACTCGCCTGATGTACATTCTCTCTACAATTCATTTAGCATTATATAAAATAAAAATTAAATATTGTTTGAGAAAATAAATACAATTATAACCTTCTTCCATCCGTTTAACACCAAAATTGACCTATCAAATGTCTAAATTTTAAATAATTAAGAATATTAGATCTTACTAAATAAAGAGACTTAGACATACTAATTTAAATATTTTGTACATAATATTTATAATTCTAATATAATTGTAGAAAATTAATGATAAATAATTCATTTTTTATTTTCAAGCTAAATGGTTATCCATGCTATTGAAAGTTCTCTTCTAAATTATATGACTTTACATATATATTTAAACAAAATTGTGAACTGAAACCTTTTTTTTTTGTGAAATATTTATTTTTTAACGACTAATTGGAGAACACAAAACTAGCTTAGCTTGTTTTATTATTTTTTATACAAGAAAAATAAATAATAATAACTGAATTGATTTGATTGTATAATAATTAAAATAACTTAATGCAAAAAGCATATTTATTATAGTATCATAATATTGATTTTAAAAATTTTACAGTAAAAAAAAAAAAAATTTTACAGTAAAAAAAAAAATTGTATTTTTATTATTTTATATATGTCAAACAGGTCACAATTTCGGGTCTAGTTAATGGATCGAGTCTTTGAATGACGTCAACAAGTTAACCTACTAGGTTAACCCACAACTGACCCTCACCAGAGTTGGGTCATTCATTTAGACTCAGGTAGAGTTTGGGCGGACAGATTCAGGTTGGGTTTACAAATTGGGTTGAGATACGGTGGAAAGTTCTGTATTCTAAATTTCTTTTGGATACATAAAAAATCGAATGGACCGAAATAATATTATAGGCTACACAGCAGGGGTAATTTTTTCCTTTCAGGGGTAATTTTTTCCTTTAAATAATATTCACTAAAACTCGAGACTTCTAACTTCCTACATTTTCTATAAAAGGTAGAAAGACTAATTATACCACACTTGATTGGAGAAGTATTATTAAACTAATAAGTAATAGTAATTGAAATTATTATTACATGTTCATGAGCATGTGTGTGTCTTTCTGTAATTTGATTCTATTGCCTTTTGTTTCTAGTTACTAACTGCTAACTAGTATTCGATACTAGTTATTGTCATACAATGACATTAAGCCTAGTAGTACCTGGCAGTTAAAAAAAAAAAAAAAAGGAAAGAAACAAAAATGGAAAATCTGCCAATATCGAATTTTCTACGTTATCGATATAAAGTCTGAAAAGTATATATATGAAGGAGAATGACTTATCTATATTCTATGTATGAATCCATCCTATACAGCAAATCAATTAAAAATAATTTTTTGAATCAAATGAAAGTATTTTGTTAGGATATAATAGCAATTAGTTAAAGAGTTAGGTTGTTTCTATTTTTCTCTATCTTGCTCTCTATTTTCTCTCTTCCCAATCACTCTAGTTAGGTTGTTTCCTAACAATTGGTTTTATATCAATATTTATACTCTTATAACGGCCATATCACCTATTATTTACAATTCAGTGTATCCTAACATATTTCTAATCGGAGATAAAAGAATAAAGAGTAATCATTTTTTTAAAAAAAAAACTTTTAATAATCTAGGCAAATCTTATCCTGTCCTATATGAAGAGTAAAAACAATTAAGAGGCATGTACCTTTTTTCTGGTGCTTCCATATAATTTAAGCACTTCCCTTCTCTTTGTCTCGCACTCTAATTCATCAAGAACACCTTCTCTTGTCTCGCACTCTAATTCCATCAAGAACATATTCAGCTATCATAAAGCGGCGTCTTCTTACAGCTTTAGCAACCAAAGGGCAAACTCGCGGTTTTCCTCTTCTCTCTGCATCCTATAGCACATCTTCTATATGCACTGATCTTAAGGATATCTAAGCTTTTTCATATCCCCTTGAAAACCCATGCAAAACAGATCTCTTTTGTAAGCATTAGAAGCTATGCTTTTCAATACTTTTTCGGCTTTTATATTTAAAGCAAATGACTCTATAGCCCATGTCTTAAATTTTGTGTTTTGAAAAAAATTATAAAAATAGTGGTTTTCGATTTGCCTGAGATGAGCTAGAAAGAATTTATGAAACATCCCATTTTATAGAGTTATTCAAGTATAGATGTTGTGAAATTAAAGTAGTATTCTTTTTCTTTTCTTGATAACTAAATAAGATGCTAAGTCTTTTGATGTGTAAAGTTGGTACAATTAATGATTTATTTCTCTATTCTCTTAAGTTGTATTCATTCCAAATTCCAACTTTTTTTGGAAGAAAAGTTAATAACTTATTCTCCACTTGATAAGGAAAAATTAAATGTGTCGTGAGAAGAATTGGGTTTCAATTCATAGCCTCATAGAAATATATATTATAATAAGGCTCCACACGTTTGTTTATGTAAAATAAGTTATAAGAAAATATTTTTCATAATTTTCTATTGTTTGGAACGTTCAAGAAAATAAGTCAATGGAAAATATTTTGTCATCAAAGGAAAATTAAGTCATTTTTAAGGAAAATAATTTCGCATTTTCATGAGAGTAAAATATTTTCTGGATATTGACAAATCTTATGAATCTAATTTTTTTTTTTAATTTATTAATTATTGTAGTCATCACCACCAATCACCATTTACCACCGACCACCAGCCACCGGCGGCAACACCACCGACCACCGACGGCTTTCATAATTTACATTTTTTTTTTTTTACGTCAATTCCATTCAGTTTTTACTTATTTCTTCTTCTTGCATGTATAAAATAAAAAGGAGTTTTTTTTTTGAAAGGAAAAAAAATTAAGTTAGTCACTTTTTTTTTTTGGAAGAAAAGTTAATAACTTATTCTCCACTTGATAAGGAAAAATTAAATGGGTCGTAATAAGAAATGGGTTTCAATTCAGAGCCTCATAGAAATATATATCACATTAAGGCTTCACGCTTTAGATTATATAAAATAAGTTACAGAAAAATATTTTCCTTAATTTTCTGTTGTTTGGCGCATTCAGAAAATAAATGAACGGAAAATATTTTTCTCATTAAAGAAAAATTAAGTCATTTTTCAGAAAAATAACTTTTCATTTTCGTGAGAGTAAAATATTTTCCGAACATTGACAAACTTTATAAATTCAATATTTGAAAAATAACTTTTCAATTTTTCGTGAGAGTAAAATAATTTTCCCGAAACATTGACAAACTTTATAAATTTCAATATTTTTTAATCTTTTATTAACTAATTGGTAGTCACTACCACCGATGCACCATTTACGCATCTGACCATCACCATCGGCCACTGAGCGTCTCATAATTTTACATTTTTTTTTTTTGCCATTCTTTCCTCAATAATTTAACAAATAAAATTTTATAAATTATAAATTTAAATATTATTATTAATATTTTTTATACCTTCACTGAGATAAAGACATATTAATATAATTTTTCTAAATTCTAATATTTACAAACTAACAATCGAAAATAAAGTTACTTTTGAAAAATACTTTTCATAGGAAATGGTTTTTTTTAATGGAAAATATTTTTCGCAACCTCTTAATTTTCACCCGTGCAAATCATTTTACGGAAATTAATCGAGCCAGTAGGTCAAATAATTAACAAGAAATAAACTTTCAACACTGGATACAAATAATTTTTTAACATAATAAAATGGAATTGTTTTCACCATTTATCATTCATCTTTTATCAAATCGTTGTTGTTGTAAGGAAAATAAATTCACATTTGTCTTTTGGTACGAAATTATTAAATGTAACATTTATTTCAATTCAGCTAATATTAATTTATTTAAACATTATTAACAGATTTGTTATTCCAAATATGTAAAAATAATCAATTTATTTTCCATTCTCTTCCTGTTCGCTCCTTGATTATTTGTTTTTTAATAAATTCATCATATCTTCTTATCTATTTTCTTTGCTTTTTCTTTTATTATTGGTTGTTTTGTACTCGCACATGTGAAGTTTTTCCCACCCCTTCTTCCATGAGGGGTCATCGATCCCTTCTTTGTGAAAGTTTAATTACTGAATAAAGATATGATATTTGATTGAAGAATTTAGATCTTGGAGTTCTAAGATAGATAGATAGAAGAATTCCTTATGTTTGATATTTTGATTAAAAGGTTAGATGGGTTTAAATACAAGTATGAGAGATAAGAATCTCATAGTATAAGCTACCAGTATTTGACTATATCTTGATAAATATATGAACAACTAACTTGCAAAGAATAATGCACATATGGAATGTGACAGCTTATTTCGCAAGTGTACGAATCGGTACAAGTAATATATGATAAGTAAAATATCGTTCCCACGAGGATTGTAATCCAATTACCAAAATTATGTTATCTTGTTATTATTTAAACGATAATAGAGAGAATTGTTTTATAAATGTAAATTGTTTTAAATAAATGTAGATAAAACAAGAATCAATTAAACAAAAATTTGGATTAAAAAGAAAATCAAAAGGAGTTTGAAACTACTAGGGTCGGTTTTAATTTCACTTATTCTATCCAAGTTTTGTTTATTTCCTAGAGTTTTAATTGATAATTCCTTATAAACTTATTCAACCGTAGGGGAAACCAACTCTAGATATTCACCTCACAAGCTCTTTCGATTTATTGCTAGCTATTTTAATTCCATTTAAGTTACCTATTTTCCTAATAGTTGCAAATCAATGATGAATTCAAAATAATTAAAGGTCAATGTTAGTTGTTAAGTGAATTTACAATTTCAAGGGGTTGATAAATCATAAAAACCCCCCATGAGTCAAAACCATATCAGCGCATCCCATCAAGTTAATTATTCCTCATGTGTTTTCATTAAAACCTTTTCATATCAAGATCCTTCTTCGATCAGTCGTTTGCATCAGATCTAGGGGAATTTGCCTAGAGCATTAAGTTCAAATTGCAATTAAAAATCATAACTTGATAAGGATGATCACATTCTAAACATAAATTGGCAAAAAGAAGATTAAGCTACCATCAAACCCCGGCTAGTAATAGAGTTTAGTTACACATAATACTTAAATAACACTTACAAATGATAAATATTATAATCAATAAGGAATAATGAGAAATTAAACAAGATTAAGAGTTTAGAGATATAGCACTAGTGATAAAGTTGCATTGGATGGCGTTCCTTGAAACTGTTGCTAACACTCATTGAATACTTAACTTCTAAAAATAAACGTATATATTCAAAGCTATGAGGAGAAAGAGTGGATATACAAAGCTATGAGAGAAAGAAAGAGTGGAGTGTAGTGTAATGTGTGGGATGCCTTTGGAATGGCCTCTTCCCCTCTTTATATAGACTTCTTGGGGAAACAATCCATATGCTTTAATGAGTAAAGTCCAACTTTATGAGGTGGAAACTTTCCAAGTGCATATGGTTGAAGTTTGACTGGCATGTGAAGAGAGTATCCAAAGTATCCTGTGAAAATGGTAAGAATTAGTTGGCAACTTTTGACTCCAATTCAGGATTTCTTGATTGGCACGGGCGTGCTGCCTGGCACGGTTTGGGGCGTGCCAGGCTCTGGAAGTCTGGGACTCTCAGCACGGGCCATGTTGTTCCGCACAGTCTGGGGAGGGTCTAGAGCACGGGCGTGCGCACTGGCACGACCAAGGGCGTGCGCTCTTCTAGAAGTCTGGAACATGTGCAGCACGGGCGTGCTTCAGCTGCACGGGCCAAGTTTCTATCTCCAGTGCACGCACCAGCGTGCGCCTTGGCATGGCCTGGGCGTGTATCTATCTGGAAGTCTCTGGCGGTTATGGCACGGGCGTAAGGCTCAGCATGGGCTGGGGCATGCGCGCCTCTGTATCTTTGCTTGTTTTGCCTTGCATTTGGCACGGTCGTGTTGATTAGCATGGGCTGGAGCGTGCTAAATATATTTTGCCTTATTTTTTGTTCTTTTCTTGCAAAATCCTACAATTTTCCTCCAAATCAAATGAGTTGTGTTTCAAGGAAGCTTTTAAATAAAAACATAACAATATTACATAAAACTAATTTAGATAAATTAAAAATACTAGAAATCTTAAATCTTAGTGAAAATTTACAATAAAAACACCTAAATCAAAAATTAAACACTTATCAAAATTCCCCAATTAAACTTATTGCTTTTCCTCAAAGGCCCTCAATTCCCTTGTTAAATAGTATGGAATAATTATTCACGAATTTTAAAATAAATATCCAAATTATTAACATAAGAATATATATTTATAGGATTTCTCTATGTCAATTAATTTTCGTAACCAAAATTTTAATTTTCAATAGACATATTCCTCTTCTTCATCTAAACATAAGTTACTCACATAGATTCTTTTGTCCTCCTTCTTAGATATAGTAGTATGGACAGAATTAAATAGCAGCACATGTAACATGTAATATTTCTCATCTCAAGGTATTTTTAGGTAACCTATTTCTATTACACAAAGTGGTTGCATTTTATGCTCCATACCACTTCTCACCTTTTGCTCCTTTTGTAGTTGCATTTTATGCTCCATACCACTTACATATATATGTATTTAAGGGAATATAAGCAATAAGTAGTTGCATTTTATGCTTCATATCACTTTGTTTAGACAAATCTCCATTATTCCCTCAATCTTGCTTTTTCTCTCATAATACCTGACGCGGAACCCTATGGAAATATATTCCATGAACTCTATGACAAGTTTTGGAAGAGATCCAAGATCTAAATAAATTCCCCTCTATGGCACCCAACTTAAGAAGCAAA